ATATATATATATATATATATATATATATATATATATATATATATATATGTATATATATTTTTTTTTTACTGTAGCTAAGCTTTTTTATTTATCATGTCTGAAACATATATGTGAATTCACACCAGCAGTTGTGCGCGCTCAGAGCTGTCTGGAGACGCTGCTGTACGTAAAGTATGGCAAGCCAAGTGGTCCATTAATAGCCACTTTTACTACATGTCTGGCTATTAATGGACCACAATGTGCAATGGCTTTGACCTTTTAGGGGCAGAGACTTGAGTTGCCGGATCCGAGCAAATGGTTGCCGGAACGCACCCGGTCAAAATGAGAGAGTTCCCGGATCTTGTTCCAGCAGGATCCAGCTCAAATTATGCACCGACTATAATGCAGTGATAAAGTACAATATTATCTGCTAAAAATAGGCTTACAAATGCTTATTGTGCTCACAAGGTAGTAACTTGGTCTGAAATGTTTAATATAACAACTCTAGATGAAATATGTAGGTGAACAGATTTGGCTCACTATTTGGCAAGAAACTGGTCAGTTTTGTCTCTTTATCACCCTTAATTAATGCATAATAAAAATTATTAATGATTTATAAAAGCATTTATAGAGGAATTAAGAATGTATCTATAAACTATTTATTAGTCATCTATAAGGGGAGCCTTATTGTAAAGTGGTACTGTGACATGTAATAAGATAAGCTTCCTTTAAAGGAAAGCATGATTAGAGAACTGATGACCTTTAAGTACTGCTGGTGGGCGCAATGTGTAAAAGCCTACAGCAGATGTAAAACTTTTAGATTGTACAATGACAGAACACAGAACTTATTTTATTGTTAACTCAGTGGAAAACACATTTTAGGAATGAACTTGATAAAAATGTCAATATAAATGCCAATGCTACCCACATATCAAGCTCATTTATAGATTTCATTATAACAATGTAAATATGTCACTCCTCTGTATAAAGTGGCTTGTGCCATATGTATATGAACAATGTGCAGATGTGTTTTTTTATATTCAAAATTATTTTATTGAAGTCTAAAAAAAAGCAAACAAAACTAAAAAAAATGCTTTAAAATACTTAAGGTGAAACAACCTTCGCAAGAAATTGTGGAACGTTACGCTATTAATGTCGACAGATGTGAGGTAGGAGGGTTGTAGTAAAGCGTTATGGTACCAATGCTAGGTTTGAGCTGCTACAGTAAGTAGCTACAGTTAATTGTGCTGTGGGGGGAGGGTGGGATTTGGTAGGCGGGGCACTTGGCTCTGTGTGTGTTTAAACCAGCCACCCCAATTATCTGAAGAAGCTATTATGTCCCCTCAAACCCAGCCGGTCGAAGCAGATGGTCGCTTGTCCTGAGCCTGGTTCTGTTGAAGGTTTCTTCCTCATGAGGGAGTTTTTCCTTTCCACTGCTGCCTCTGTACTTGCTTAAGATGAGACGGCAATGAAGTGGAAACTCAAAGCAGTCTGCTCCTCAGATAGATAAATAATGTTATTAAGTGACTTTACATGTAGCTGAATGTTTCTGTACAGTGCCCTGAGACGACTTCTGTTGTGATTTGGCTCTATATAAGCAAACTGAATTTAACTGAATTTCAAATAATTGGGGTGGCTAAAAATGAATCCTATAGTGGCCAAGGCCACCACTGGCCACCCCTGGCTCTGTCATTGTGCCTGGTGGTGAATAAAATTACTTCCTCTGCTCGTCAGGATTTGTTACTCTGCACCGCCACGGAAAAGAAAAAACCCAACTACCAGTACCTCTGTTCTTCTACACAGTGTAACTCCTACCAGCTTGAATATCTTGTACCAAAAACATTAAGGTTTACTTGCATTACCTGTTCAGTTCCAGTCCAGAAAAACACTCATCTCAAAAACTATATTCACTAATCAAATTCCTCAGTGAATGGGGACACTGGTGTACCACTTGCAACCTATTTTTTATATGTATTTGTTGGTTCCCAACTCTGGTCCTCGAGGAACACTATGCTGCACGTTTTAGTTGATTCCCTGCTTTGACGCATCTGATTTGAGTGAACGGGTGATTAGGGGGCTAATGCAGAAGTTGAGGAAGTAATTAAATCATTGAATCAGGTGTGTTGGCACAGGGAAACAACTAAAACATGCAGGATAGTGTTCCTCGAGGACCAGGGTTGGGATCCACTGAGAGGATCTACTAACCTTAGACACCACTGTCCACAGATCATGAGGAAGGGGATGGAGCATGTGGAGCAGAGACAAGGGGACTGGGAGATGGGGTCACATCATATAATCTTCATGCAGATGATATGAAGAAAAAAAAAAGGGCCAGTAACAAACAACAGAAAACATAAGGGTCAAATTAGTCATAAGAAAATATAAAAGCCATGAAATTCACTTGCAATGAAACATTGTTATGACTACATGAATGAAAATCCAAATTATATATAAAAAGTAAATAATACACAAGTAAATAACAAATGTATGATGCAAAAAAAAAAAAAAAATCATAGGTCTAAGAGATATAGATTGAAAGCCCTAATAATTAGTCTTCCACCACCATGATTGACAGCTGTGACAAGTTTGCTCTGATATTTTGTGCAAAACATGAGTGACTTGTGCCCAAACATCTTCTCTTGGGTCTCTCTTCTGTCTCAACATACACAACTGCACAGTTTGGATGCAGCTGGGCATACCCAAGACATATTTCCACTTGTAAATAATATTTCTCATTCTGCAATAATTATTAACTTTAAATAGTTCATACTGTCAGCTTGATGATAATCAGAAAATACATCTTTAGGATCAATGCTTATAATTTTCCTGCACGGTGGCTCAGTTGGTGGAGCTGGTGCCTCTTGGTGAGAAGGTTGCTGGATCAAATCCTGGCCGGGGGCCTTTCTGGGTGGAGTTTGCATGTTCTCTCTGTGCATGCATGGGTTTTCTTTGGGTACTCCGGTTTCCTCCCACAGACCAAAAACATGCATGTTAGACTGATTGGTAACTGAATTGTCCCTAAGTGTGAGTGAGAGAGTGAATGGTTGTCTCTGTGTATCACTGTGATGGACTGGAGACCTGCCCAGGGTGTCCCCCACCTCTCACATAGTGATTGCTGGATATGGGCACCAGTGACTCCCGAGACCCAAAAAGGAAAAAGTGGGTAAAGATAATGAGTGATGCTTATAATTTTATTCTTTTGCATTATGTTAATCAGAATGCTCAAAATACCAAAACTTTTTTTTTTATAGAGATGCCCACACCTGTTGTGATTCATTCATTATCTTTACCCACTTCTAGTCATCAGTTAATCAAGTGCTTAATTCAAAACATACTGAAAATGTTTTGGTTACTATCCAATTTTTTTTTTAAATATTCCAGCCTCCTACCTGCGTCCTTGGGAGTTACTAATTTGTTCCTTCATGCTGATAGCTTGATGAAGAAGGCCATCAATGTTCTTGAAATACAGAATGCTGTTTGTCATGCTCTTCACTGCACTGCAAAAACCAAACATCAATCCAAGCATTAGTTGTTGGGAAAAAGGCAGGTAGGGTTGTGTGAACATTACATTTTAAAAATGTACATCATCTCACCTGCATGCATACTCCACAGTATAGATAGCGCCTTGACTTTGTTCTTCCCAGCTCTGCATGTTTGTCTGAGGGAGAAATTAATAAAAGTAAAAACCATAAAAAAAGCAAATCACAAAATGAGTTAAAGAAGCACATAACATACTTTTTATTCTTAGGTTTAAAATTGAGGTCAATTCTAAGTAATTTCACCACAGTTATTGAAAAGAAAATGTCTTTTAGAATTTTTTTTTAATCAAGTCAGATACCAGGGCGGCACGGTGGCACAACTGGTAGAGCTGCTGCCTCTCAGCGAGCAGGTTATCCCAATTCAAATCTGGGGACCTTTCTGGGTGGAGTTTGCATGTTCTCTCCGTGCATGCGTGGGTTTTCTCCGGGTACTCCGGTTTCCTCCCACAGACCAAAATCATGCATGTTAGGCTGATTGGTAACTCTAAATTGTTCCTAGGTGTGAGTGAGAGAGTGAATGGTTGTTTGTCTCCATGCGTCCCTGTGATGGACTGGAGACCTGTCCAGGGTGTACCCCACCTCTCGCACAGTGACTGCTGGATATGGGCACCAGTGACCCCCGCGACTCAAAACAGAAGAAGCAGGTAAAGATAATGGATGGATGAAGTCAGATACCAGAATTTTAACTACACCGTGTCAACGAGGAACAAAGACCATAACGTCCTTTTAATACAAACATGCACCTCAGAAAGCTTATCAACAGAGTTTTGTTTTTGGGAGTCTTTTTAAAGATGTTTATCTATAAAAAGGGTAACATATATTGGGAAACAATAGGAAGTGAGTTGAAGTTAAACCTGGAAGTAATATTCAGTGTTGGAATTCATCTGACAGATCACAAAACCAGTGACTAGCAGGTGTGCCACTCTTCAAATGTAGCTAATATTTAAACCTGCATCTCCAAAGCAAGAGCATTTAGTCTTGTTCAATATGTGTTGCCTCGACTTTTTCCTTTCATCTCTACTTTCTATATCAGGTTGGAGGAACAAGTAGACAAGAGAAATCGAAAATAGCACAGAGGTTGCTTCTTGTTTATAGAAGAAAATAGGTATTTATGATTAGGGTTGCTGGAAGGTCACACAGTAAATATTCGTTGTGCCTATTCTGTTTTGAATACAGTTATAACAGTAAACACCATCACCTTGTGTTGCACCAGTTCAGGCAGAGACCTCCTGACATGCTCCTGCAGTCTGTAGAGAGCTACGGACGGCTCGTTAGCCAAAACGTACATACTCTCCGTGAATTTGTCACTCACTGTAGACAAAAAATAAAATAAATAAAAGTCCAGGCAAGAGTGTAAAACAACAAATTCATAATTTAGAAGATTAAATGATGACTGAAAACGCTTTAAACCCACAACTGTAATAAATATCAATAGCTTAGCCGCTAGCCTGAAGAGACAGGTCCCAGGTAGGCACCGTTAGGAAGGTTAAAGAGATGAGTTGTTTACTGATTTATTTGTTGATGTTTACCTCGTCGAACCTTTAGCTGCATCTCTTGATCTTCCATATTGCAAGCTGTTTTTTTCCTTCTTCACCAGAATCACCCGGTTCTTTTCACTTCCGTATTATTGTTCTTCTGTGTCACATGATAAGATGTCCGGATGGAAACATTGACGCTAACTAACGATTCTTGAAGAAAAAAGTGCCAGACGCGTTGACACAGGCTCCCGATTCAAACGCATTTTTTTGTTTGTTTTTGTTTGTTTTGATAGTTTATCAGGCGATAATTAACGAGCATCGTCGGTCGTGATTACGAAACATTTAGGAAAGCAGCAAGATACATTGCATGACCTGAAACAGTTTACTTTCAGTTTTCCCAAAAGGAAATGCGGTTGTGAGGCTGGTTGTGGTGAGTGCAAATCATTATTTGCTTCATAAACTTGCTAATTTTGTAATGGCTTTCGTCAAATGCATTGTTTTTATTGCAGTTGCATTGTTTTTATTGCAGTTATTATGGAGAGCAGAGGCGATGAAGATGCAGCAAACAGCCAACATCTTCAGCCATCAGGTGCTGAATGCTCCAGTTCAAGACCTGAAAACTCCAGTGGTACTGTTTGTGTCTGACACAAGTTTCCAAATGTTACATTCTTTGCACATTTAATATCCATGCATGTATATCATCTAAGATGATGACCTCAGAGTGATTAAACTGTAAATATCGTCTGTATCCACATGTTTCCTCTGATGCAGACGAGGACGACCTGTTTAAACACTCAACCACTCTGACCAACAAGCAAAGAGGGAATGAGATTACAGTACGGCCAGCGACATTGGATGGCAAGCACCTTACTGCTTGTTTTTTTTTTTCATTTAGTTAACAAGGCATATTTTCTACGTCTGGATGATTTAAGATGATTTTATTTCCCCTAACAGCTCTATCCATACATCAGCTGGCAGCTCAGGGTGATTTATCACAAGTGGCAGCACACCTGAATAAAGGTTAGTCATCCAGTTTGTGTATATTCATGTTTAAATGTAGAAATCTGTACAGCGTCCTGTTTGATCCCACAGACAGTTCGCTGCTCAGCAGACAGGACGAGCGAGGTTTTACTCCGCTCATGTGGGCAGCCGCGTTTGGCGAGAAAACAGTGGTGGACTTTCTCTTGGAAAAGGTGAGGAGGGAAAACAAAAAGCCACGCATGCAATTAAAATCAAGCTCCCTATTCTCACTGAGGTGGATGCAAAATGTATATTTTAAAGGGTGCAGACCCCAACACAATTGCAAGGGAGCGAGAGAGTGCCCTGACACTGGCCAGCTCTGGGGGGTTTGTGGACATTGTGGAGACTCTCCTCAGACATGGAGTCGACATTAACACCTATGACTGGGTACAGCTAGGACTTTATGACTTTACACCAAACATACTTTAAATTTTTTTTTTAACACAAAGTCTAATGTGCTTGATAATGTCTAAAATTTCCATGCTTTTCTTAGAATGGTGGAACTCCTCTTCTATATGCTGTCCGGGGAAACCACACCAAATGTGTGGAGGCACTATTAGGTACGTATTAGGTCTATTATTCAAAGAAAATGTAAGCAAATTCAGTTTAAATGCTTTATTTCTAATTTTCATGCTCTCCTTCAGCCAAAGGAGCAGATATGACCATCGAGTCAGACTCTGGCTACAGTCCGATGGCCTTAGCCGTTTCACTTGGACACAAAAAAAGTATGTGTTAAATGGCTGCACGCAATCCTGCTCAGAATTACTGGCAAACCTGAACTGCAAGTAGATAATTTAGGATTGCAAATAAAACACGTTTCATGCAGACGTTTACAATAGTAGACGGCTTTCATAAATTATTTTTAAATATTTTGAGTTCACAAATTCTGGTGCCACTGATGAATATTTGAATCTTTTTTTTTTTTGGTAATAATGTGGGTGGTACGGTGGCTCAGTTGGTAGAGCAGTTGCCTCGCAGTGAGGCTGTCGAATCAAATCCTGGCCAGGGGCCTTTCTGGGCGGAGTTTGCATGTTCTCTCTGTGCATGAGTGGGTTTTCTCTGGGTACTCCAGTTTCCTCCCACAGACCAAAAACATGCATGTTAGGCTGATTGATAAATTGTCCCTAGGTGTGAGTGAGAGTGTGAATGTTCGTTTGTCTACGCGTCCCTGTGATGGACTGGAGACCTGTCCAGGTGTCCCCCGCCTCTCGCACAGTGACTGCTGGACATGGGTAACGGAGACCCTGTGACTCAGAAAGGAAGAAGCGGGTAAAGATAATGGATGGATGGATGTTTGCGTCTGTCTGCTGGTAGTTGATCCATTTAGCAGGAGTCCTTTTAGTTTGACAGTTTGGCTGCTTTACAAAAAAAAGTGATCAAATGTAATTGTAAAGCCAGCCGAGTAAAGTTATCTCGGTTTATATTCAATACGGTTTAAAGTCACAGGCTTTTATTTTGGTAACTTCTTTGTGAGAAGTTCTTCATGCCAACGGAGCTTAGCTCGACAAAAGAAAAACAGCAGGTGAAATGGAATAGAGCTAAGTTTTAATAAGTTTGAAGCATGCCACGTTTTTCATTAAAAATTTTTCCTTGTTACTCTGTGAGACATGACCTTTAGGTCATTGTCTGAAAAGATTCAAGATAACTTCATTTACCCATTTAGCATTATTATACTTTGTCACACATTTTGATACCAAACCTCTGCATTTATTTTTCATTCAGTAAATGCCTCAGCAGCACATGAATCTTCTCTTTTGGTTGGTTATTCTCTCGAACATATGTGCCAGTGTACAGTATCATCTACAAACAAATGTACTGCACCGTCACATAGTTTAGCTTTGGTTTCACCGAGTCACTCACGCAGCGCATGTTAGAATTGAACTCACTCCATCGTTCCACTCAGCCTGAAGACTGTTGATTTCTCATTCTTCCAGCATGTCCTGCTTCTATACCAACAGCAAAACCTGATATTTTTTTACAGTTTTTGTATCGTTTAGTTTCTTTCCCCAAAGCGGCATTTCAAATCTTTTATGGGCCACAATTTAGTACGGCTTCCAATTTCTGAAGATCACATTTTAATTACAATAAGTACGTTATCAAAACATTCTGACTGCACTAAATCCAGATTTTTATTTCTGAAAACGGTTTAGATGACCACTATCTTACCCAGAATCGTGCACGTTTTACAAGCAGCATTACAATAATGGCTTTTATTTTATTTATTAGAAATAACACTTCCGTTTCTTTTTTCCTTCCAGTTCAGAAAGTGTTGGAGGATCACATCTTGAAACTTTACAAGCCATCGACATGACATCAACTAAAGCACACGAAACAAAGCTGATCTCAAATCAACAAGCAGGTGTTCGAATTAGATGGTAGGAAAACATCAGTCACAACAAACCAGACCATCGGCAGAACATCTGTCTGGATGATAATTCTCATGGACGTGTTGATTTTTATGCATTACATGTGTAAACTTGTAAGAACAAGCACTAAAGTATGACATGCTGCAGGTTTATTTTATTTGTCTGAGGAACAATTAAAAAAATAAAATCTGTGAATAAGTTTTAATAAAATTATTTTCTTAACTGACTGATTATTCACGTCTAAGGAACAATGAAATGTCACATTTTTACGATTACACAGGAAATTCATGAAACCTGCAGTCGACTGATAAATCGAAGCATGCTGCGTGTCAGCAGTGTAAGGATGTGTTGACGGTCGGCTGAATGCAGTCGGACCAAAAAAGGCCATCAGTTCACGAGGTGGCAGCGAAAACGTTTCCCAAGTGTCACTGCATCGTCCGTTACATTACCCAGGGGTCTTTTCCTCTCACGAGAATCGAGGGGGAAAAAAAAAAATTGTTCATGAGTTTTTTTTCCCCAAAACATCCAAGGAATAAACAATAACTCTCCCAAAAAAGTCTGCGCTGTTTTCAAACAGTATTTTTACTTTATCCACTGCTGGGGCCTCCTGTATGGGAAAGCTGTGGGTGTGGAGTTAAGAACTTAACGATGAAAAGCAGGAGGAGAAAAATATTATCCGATACTTAATATGAACCACCGAAAACATGGGCAGGATATCCAAGTTTCTTTAAATATCTCCAGTAGCTGAATTATAACGTAGTAAAACAAATACACTTCTGTTGAATACAATTACATCTTCCAAAAATAGTTTGCTTGCATATCAAGTAACGGTTCTTTAAAATATTAAATTGTTTCTTCTTGAATGGAAGGATATCTGAAGGCAGTTGTTGTCTTCTGGGTAAAACTGGCTGATCTCTGTGAAATCTCCCTCTTTGAAGCAGCCTGCAGGAAACAAAGAGGAAATAAGAGGCAGTGCAGAAAACACTGAAGCAGCTAGTGTTAAAGACAAAATTATATGAAAAATAAGTCTGACCTTCTATTCTGCATGTTTTAGCTGAGAAGCCTCCCTGGAACAATATGTTGATCTCTGACACCTGAACAGATTGAGGAAAGTCCAGCAACACCCACTGACATTCACCCTGACAAAGAAATGACATCACTATACAGAACAGTGCGAAAACATTTAACTCGGGGAAAATAAAGTTGAAACATATTAAAAACACTTGTTTCTTGAGAAAGAAAAAAAAAATCACAATTTTATAGTTGCAAATTTGACCAATTGTTGCTTTTTTAAATCAAAGAAAAGCAGCAACTCTACAAGATTTGCAAACATAGATCAAATGTCTTTAAGCCTTTCTTGTTGGGAATTTAACCCAGTAAGACCCAGTTTATGGGCGCTGTAAGTTAAACGTTTTCAGCCAGTCTGCACATCAGACATTAGAGATGTGGGACTTTTAAATCCCCACCTACTCCCCTGCAAACAATCATGGAGTCACACAACTTTTCAAAGCAAAATACAACTGAATATATCACAAAAAGGGAAATTTAAACATTCAGCAACAAGACAAGGACTATGTGAATCAACAGCAGTCATTAACTGCAAAACAAATTGTCTACAACATATTTTTTTATTTTACCAATAGCACTTTATGTGGAGGGGACAGAACTTTACTTGTACTGGAACTAGCTGAAAGGGAAGCTGGTCCATGTCAGAGGTCTAAATACAGTGCATGAATATGCATTTCAGACCTACAGAAAAGCTGTGGGAGCTTAAATCCTGAGCCTTTTAGAACTGTTCTGGTTTTGCTTATTAGTTTCTTATAACTAATTTCTTCTTGGTCAGAGGGAGTCTTTGTCTTGGGGAAGTCTTGCTCACGAGCGATGGTAGGATGGAGCGAGTTGTCAGATTGGAGTCTTCTCCTTAGTCATGAAGGTGTTGCTTCAATTGGTCGTGGTGAAGAAAGAGTTGAGTTAAAAGGCAAAACTCTCAATTTACTGGTCTTTGTTCCAACCCTTAACTTGGTTATGAGGTTTGGATCATGACTGAAAGAATGAGATTCCAGATACAAGTGGCTGAAATAAGCTTTCTTAGGATGGCCCTTAGAGCCAGCCTAGACTCAGCCTGAGAGGGAAAGCTCAGAGTAGAGCCGCTGCTCCTCCACATCGAAAGGAGTCAGTTGAGGTGGCTCAAGCAGCTGATTAGGATGCCTCCTGGTCGCCTCCCTTTGGAGGTTTTCTGGGCACATCCCTCTGGTAAAAGGCCCCAGGGCAGACCCAGAACATGCTGGAGGGAGTGTATCCTCTGGTGTGGGAACACTTTGGGGTCCCCCTGGAGGAGCTGGAGTGTTGCTGGCGAGACAGATGTCTGGGTTTCTCTCCTGGCCCTGTTGCCTTTAGACTACCGATAAGGTAGTTTCTTATAACAAACTAAAATATGCCAATTTTGAGACCATACTTGGTTCTAAAAATATTCGTGGAGAAAAAAAAAACCCCAGAGTGAATCAAAATTATTATGCTACGCTTCAGATTTTGTCTGCACTTCATTCAATCATAATCTGTTTCATATGAACTGTGCCTGACACAAGTGTATTTTTGAACTTTGCAACAGAAAAAAAAGACAAAAAGTCTCAATGGCACTAGTTCCCCCCAAAGACATACAAAATATGAGATTATGTTTAAAGAATACAGGCTTTATTTATTTTTTTTTACATATGTGTAACTAAAATTAATATGATGCAAAATATGAGCAAGAAAATCAACAGCAGATCACTCAAAAACTGATAAAGCAGCTCAAAAATAAATTGTCATAAAATAGTTTACACAATAGAAATACACAATGTTCAAATCAAAGGCTAAGATTATAAAACCTAAACGTGACATATCTTACAATAAGAAGTGGCAATCACATATACAGTGATACTAGTGGTAAATAACCACAGGTGCGTATTTGTTTACCTGGTCTGAGTTCCAGCAGGTTTCTTCATTCTTATCGAACATGTGTTTTTTCCCGAACTGCTTCACATCTCTGTGCAGAACTGAACTCACTCTGAAATAAGAAAGAGGGCCGACACCTCTTAGTTATGTCGAAAAGCTGTTAAAAAGACCGAGTTTAAACACTGCAATTCAACATTTTAAACATATTTTGCTGAATAACACTTTTACTTTGTTTTACCTGCTTCGAGTTTCGCTACAAATCAACGAGGCAGCCATATTGAATTTTTTTAACTACACTCTGCCGTAAAATGTCGCGGCCATGCGTTGATATTTTTACGACAGTCACGTCAGCGTGTTGCGTTTTTCCTTCTGGCCACTAGATGGCGAGCGCGTACTGTTAAATGTTTCCTCGTCTTTAACGAGTGCGCCATGAATTATTCAACTTTTTTTATTTATTTTTTTATAAACCACAGTTACTGCTCAACTCACCAACATTGTCCCTGCTGTTTTATTTATTTATTTTTGTTTATGTACAAAACTTAGATGTATAAACAGCAATTAGTGCGTCCTGATTCATGCTCAGTAATCCAGGTCCAACAAAGTCAAGTCAGGTCTGCTGGACGATTTCTTTGTTGAAACGTTTCTTCTTTCATCCAAAAGACTTCATCAGTTCGAGGAGCCACAACAAACTCAGTCTTATAAATAGCATCTTCACATAGAGGGCCAACCAGTTTGATGGTGCTCAGATGGTTTCTGGAGTCCGCCCTCTCCCCTGCTGACTCGTTTCTGGATGTTTTGAACCACTTTGGCCATGACTGTCTCATTCAAGTCAGCGGGGGAGAGGACGGACTCCAGAAACCATCTGAGCACCATCAAACTGGTTGACCCACTAAAGGTGCTATTTATAAGACTGAGTTTGTTGTGGCTCCTCGGACTCATGAAGTCCTTTGGATAAAAGACGAAAAGTTTCCACACAAAGAAACCGTCCAGAGCACCTGGCTTAAATCTGTTGAACAACCAGTGCAGTTTAATCAATTCAGGGAAACAAATCCTATAGTTTTTTTTTACAGCTTTTTACAGAATAACATTTGAAGACTTTCAGATTCTGACTGTATTGAATATTGCTAAATATTTTTTTTTTTTTTTTTTTTTTTTTTTTTTTTTAATGTAGGCAGCACGGTGGCGCAACTGGTAGAGCTGCTGCCTCTCAGCGAGCAGGTCCCTGGTTCAAACCCCGGTCCAGGGGCCTTTCTGGGTGGAGTTTGCATGTTCTCTCCGTGCATGCGTGGGTTTTCTCCGGGTACTCCGGTTTCCTCCCACAGTCCAAAAACATGCATGTTAGGCTGATTGGTAACTCTAAATCGTCCCTAGGTGTGAGTGAGAGAGTGAATGGTTGTTTGTCTCGTTTGTCTCTATGTGGCCCTGTGATGGACTTGCGACCCGTCCAGGGTGTACCCCGCCCCTCGCACAGTGATTGCTGGACATGGGCACCAGCGACCCCCGTGACCCAAAATGGAATAAACGGGTAAAGAAAATGGATGGATGGATGGATTTTTTATGTAGCTGAATTTACATCATATGCTGACTATATGAGTTGTGATCGAAATGGCTTGAATGAGTTAAACTGAAACTAGATTAAATTGAATTGTACGTAACTGAATTCATATAAAGGTGAATTTAATTTGTGTCAAACCTGTTTTTTTTTTTATTTATGCTGTTTTTATTTCTCTATAACAATACAAGAATGTAATACATTCTTATGCATGTATTACATAAATGTAATTTAACCAGTTTTGTGGTTTTGTGGAACTGGTTTGTTTTACTTTGGAGTAAGCTGTTGGAGGAAGAATCAGTTTTGTTTTGTCTGTTTCCTTGACTGGTGAAGCCTTCCAGATCAAAGGTGAAACGTTTCAGCCCCAAAAAAGAAACTGTCCAGACGTGACTGAAAAATGTTGGATTGTATACCTGGATTATTGAGCATGGACTTTGTTGTTCATATCAAATAGAGTTTACTCCTCTACATGATATGCAATTCTGAAATACTTTTATTTGCATATGTAAACCACATGAAACATTGGGCTACTAAACCATCCATCCATCCATCCATCCATTATCTTTACCCGTTTATTCCATTTTGGGTCACGGGGGTCGCTGGTGCCCATGTCCAGCAGTCACTGTGCGAGGGGCGGGGTACACCCTGGACAGGTCGCAAGTCCATCACAGGGACACATAGAGACAAACGAGACAAACAAACATTCATTCTCTCACTCACACCTAGGGACAATTTATAGTTACCAATCAGCCTAACATGCATGTTTTTGGACTGTGGGAGGAAACCGGAGCACCCGGAGAAAACCCACGCATGCACGGAGAGAACATGCAAACTCCACCCAGAAAGGCCCCTGGACCGGGGTTTGAACCAGGGACCTGTTCGCTGAGAGGCAGCAGCTGTACCAGTTGCGCCACGGTGCTGCCCGGCTACTAAACCCATATCTGTAATTTAGATTGTAATAACGGGAAGGTCCAGCAGAGGGCACTCAGTTTTTACTGAGTTGAATTTAACCAACGTGGTTTGGTCATTTTCCCTATATTCTGAGGCATGCTCTTTACACGTGCACTGAGGACCAAACTGTGGATCTTACAACTTGTCTGAGTGACAGAAGTGACCATTCATTGAGAATTATCTGTGGAAATCCCAGTGAGAGACCGAGGCGACCACTTGTTGAGTAATAGCTTGTGGAAATCCCGATGAGTGAATAACTCAGTTGAGTCACTTAGCTTGCGGCTAATAGATAAGTTCAATATTAAACTGGCAGATGCTGAGATATGTCTCTAAATAAACCAATCGGGAGTTTTTTGGACTTTGTTCTAATCAAACAATTTTCAGTCAGGTCATCTGGACAGTTTCTTTTTTTTTTTTTTTTTTGTGCTGAAATGTTTCACCTTCCATCCAGAAGGCTTCATCAGTCAAGGAAACACACAACCCAAAACTGATTCTTCCCCCAACAGCTTATTCTAAAGTGGAACAAACCAGTTATGTTGGTGCTAAGATGGTCTCTTTGGCACGCCCTCTTCTCTGGTGCCGGCCCTCTCCCTCATCGACAGTCATGTCAAACTGGTTCAAAACCAACAAAGTTCATGCTCAATATTTGAACTAGTTTGATATGACTGTTTGAATCATTGTCCTTTCTTCACTTACTGTGTCCATAAATAACCAAACACACTTCATGGCATTGCAATGAGTGCCTTTAAGATAAGTGTTCAGGTGTTTTTGCTGGTTCGTGTTGGACTGAATAATCCCCAGACGAATGCAATATCAGTTTTCAAGGCTTTTCTTGGGAACCATATCCCTACATCTCTATTTCATAACATAGAAACCAATAACGTGGAAGAGAAACTGTGTGTGTTTGTCTGTGTACGAGAGAAGTTAGTCAATACACATGGTTCATTGCAGATGGAGAAGTCTTGCTGAGGTTTTGCCACCAGGTCTCCTCACAGCAGGCAATCAATAAGTCTGAAATACAGAACCTGATGAAAACCAACCTTCTTGAAAACTGTGCAGCAGAGTTGCAATTGGGGAGAGTGCATATTTAGTAAGTGCTGAATACTGCACCACCCCCAACTCAAAACACCCTCTAACACACACAAAACATGCTCACACACTCTTACTTTATTAAAAGCAAGATTTCTTTGAGGGCAGCATGGTGGCGCAGTTGGTAGAGCTACTGCCTCTCAGCGAGCAGGTTACCTCTGTTCAAATCCCGGTCCGGAGACCTTTCTGTGTGAAGTTTGCATGTTCTCTCCGTGCATGCATGGGTTTTCTCTGTGTACTTCAGTTTCCTCCCACAGCCTAAAAACATGCATGTTAGACTTATTGGTAACTCTAAATTGTCCCTAGGTGTGAGTGAGAGAGTGAATTGTTGTCTCGTTTGTCTCTGTGTCCCTGTGATGGACTGGAGACCTGGCCAGGGTGTCCCCTGCCTCTCACATAGTGATGGATGTGCTGGTGAACCAGTGACCCTCGTGACCTGAAAAAGAAGACGCGGGTAAAAGATAATGGATGCATGGATGGAGATTCCTTTGAATTTGTCATCCAGTTCGGAAAATGCTTTCCAGCCATTATAGGTCTAGAATTCCTTGAAGAAACGCACAACACCCTCTGTCTTTAATGCCAGCAATTTAATTAGGATAAACTTATGATAAGCTGCATGAGTATGTGCAGTCTCATGTAATATACACTCGGAGTATGTGTTGTGGATGACTCTCAGCTACGACCACATCAAATTTTGGCTCAACATTTGTAAAACTGACAGAGTTATTGCCATTTTTGTATTGGCTAATTTGGATTTATTGTGGTGGCTGTCTTGGTTTACTTCAGAAGTTAATTAGTCGCAAAAGTGCATTCATAGGTTTCTGAAAGTTTTATTACTATCCGTTCAATGGTTCATGTGCTACTTCGCTAACGGACAGACAGCAATGACTGTGGCAGTTATTGTCAAAGTTTTAAATAAACATATTTGACAATGTGTAGTGCTCAGAGTATGTGTTGTGAATGACTCTCAGCTACTACCACATCAAAAGCACCAAATCTATGTTGCTTAGCTATGGCAGCCATCTTGAATTGGATTATCTCCAAACGTAATCTGTTCTGATTCATGAGATCACTTGCTTGAAGATTGAAGATTCAACTTGTCTGCTGGCCTCCTTAGATAGAGAACTTTACTAATTGGCTTTTATGTTTGTGAATGTTTCTGTAAAGTGCCCTGAGACAACTTTGTTGTGATCTGGCACTATATAAATAAACTGAATTGAACTGAATTGAACTTGCTAATATGCAAACTGGGTTGACACCAACAGGTCATGATAAAGTTTTACACAAATATGTCACACATTGCATAGCCCTATTGGTTGTCAATTAGTTTATGCTCAAATTTTAACTCATTGTCTGTAGAAGTGACAGAGTTTGAGCATCTTCAATTTTAATCTACTCAAATGTTAATCAGTTGTAGAGGTACAAACAGCAATTATACTTATACTTACTGAGTGTTTCATCAATATTCATTCAGTGGTTCATGACATATTTTGCTAACACAAAAGACACACGGGCTCATTATTGCCTGACTATTGCCTTTCTGCAGTAAATGGATGTAAGTATAATACCACCAAGTCAACGTTTTATTGCAGAACCCTATATGGTAAGATTATCAGAGTTCAACTGCCCCAGTCAGTAATTGCATGTTTTAGGTGGTTAGTGAACACCTTTAAAGGTTTGTACATCTGTTCCTCAGATGTGTTCCCTCATC